GCGACCTGCCCCCTTCCAGAGCCGCCCAGCCCCCCGCCAGTGATCGGATGCTGCTGGGGCTCCTCGGGCGGCGGAGGGCACCGATCCGGGACTGCTCCGCCGGGAGAGTGAGCGGGCCGGCCGGGCGCCTGCCAGGATGAGCGGCGGCGAAGTGGTGTGCTCGGGCTGGCTGCGGAAATCGCCCCCGGAGAAGAAGTTGAGGAGATACGTAAGTCGGAGGGGGGGCGCGCGTGAAAAGTGGGGGGGGGAGAGAAGAGAGGCGGATGGGTTTTGTGGTCTAAGAGGGCGCGAAGCCCGGGGATGCGCCCGCTCGCCCGGTCTCCCTGCGTGTGCATTTTGTGTGCGCCCTGCGGAGTCTCCCGGAGAGCTTGGGCTCGTCTCCTCCTCCTCTCTCTCTTTTTCTCCCCCCCCCTTGCACTCCCTTTGCTCTCTTACTCCCCCCCAACACACACAACGCACACACACACCCTCCGCCAGCCTGTCCTTAGTTGAAGGTTACCTAGCGGTGATAATGATTGACTAGGGGAGGGAGGGAGGGAGGGAGCGCCGGGGAGAGCAAGCCCGGCCGGGCGCGCGCTGGGCGGCTGTTTCTCCTCCCAAAGCGAGTGGATCGATCCGTCTCGCTCGCTCTCCGCACGCACAAACACGCACACACACACCCCTCTTTGCAATAGCCACCCGGGCTGTTTCCTGGCTGCCCCAAAGACCGAAGCCTGGTTTGGATGCACTTTCAAAAAATAATAAAACCTTCTTTTCTCCACGACGGGGCCTTTTTTGGCGCATGGTGCGGATCCGGTGTCACAGAGGTGGGGGTTGCAAGCGAGGGAGGGGTGGTGGGGACGGGAGGAAGGGAACAGGTGCGGCGATCAATAAAATCTCCGGGTGCTGGGCTGCGCCAGCCTTCACCGGATCGGTGCGATCGCGTTTTCAATCCGGATTTTAAGAGGGTGGGTGTGGACGAGGCAAAGCAGAATAGGCGGTGCGGTTCTGCTTGACCCCTCGGAATCCTTCTGGGCGGCTGTAACGCACCCAGTCCCACTGGTCCGATTCGAGACCCCTCCCCGTCTCTGAATTCGGATCCCGCGGCTTGGGGAGGGCGGACAGGTGCGCGCGGGGGGCGCGGAGGCTCAGTCTCTCAAAGCCGTTCCCGGGGGAGGTCCCGTTTGGGTTGCGCGCTAAGGGAACCGTGACTTGCGCTTCGCCACGGCTCCGGAGTGACTCTGGAGTGAGTTCGAGGCTGCCAGCAGGGTGGAGACGCGGGGCGGAGCGGCGTTGGGCGTCGCTGAAGTTGGCCTGGGAGGAGCGCGAGCGAGCGAGCCTGGGAGGCTCCCCGGCGCGCCTTGGCCGGGGTGCGTTTTGTTATCCGGGTCCGAGCAATCGCTCGCGCGCTCTCTTGTCTGCCGCTCGCCGCCGCCTCCTCCCTCCCCTCTAGCGGCCGTGGCCGGTAAGGCACCCTGTGGGCGAATACTGCTCCGCCGTTGTGATTCCCGTGGATCGGGCACCTGTCACGATGGGCAGCTGAATTGGGTGGCGGGTGGGGTTGTTTGGACCGCAACCTCCCGGTGGTGCCTGGGGAATTCTGCAGCCTGGCAGCCCAGAAACGCTCAACTCTGGGAGTTGGAAGTTCGGAAGGGCAAATCTGTACAGTACTGGGGAAGGATGGGAGCTATCCTCCAAAGACACGTGTACTCCAAAAGCACCCTTGCCTCTTGACACCCTGGAAATTTCAGCCCCAAAATATTAAGCCGCCCATCCTTGGCTACCTGCGTGGCCTGCTAAGCGTAGCTTGTCTGACTCCAGTTTTCGGTTCCAAGCAGACCAGTGGACTCATGGCGGCTTCCAGAAGCCCTGACCTATCTTGCAGAGCCGTTATGATCATTTTTTGGCACTGGTGCTTCATTCCCCTTCTGGTTAAGCTTGGTGGGTGAGGGTTAGGGGTGGGTGGGTGCATCTGGTGGGCTTTTGTTGTTTGGGCGTTAAATCATGTCCAACTTTTCGTGACCCCATGAACCAGAGCACGCCAGGCCCCCCTGTCTTTCACTGCCTCCTGGAGTTGGGTCAAAGTCCTGTTGGTCGCTTCGGTGACCCTGTCCAACCATCTCCTCCTCTGTCGTCCCATTTTCCTCTTGCCTTCACTCCTTCCCAACATCAGGGGCTTTTCCAGGGAGTCTTCTCTTCTCATGAGATGGCCAAAGTACTGGAGCCTCAGCTTCAGGATCTGTCCTTCCAGTGAGCACTCGGGGTTGATGCCTCTTTTATTCCGTTCTCTCCTTTTTCTGCTTTGAATATTCTTCCCTGACCTGTTGCCTTTCAAATGGGTCAATCTGTGGTTCCCATAATCCACTAACCAACTACTCTTGCATTGGGAGGGTTATGGATCGGTAGTACAGCATCCGGAGGCTGCCAAATTAGGGAAAGACACGTCAGAGAAGCTTCCGCCTGGTTGTATTTGGTCTATATCGTAACCTCAGCAAATGGCTGTCAAGCAAACAAACAACAAATGTAAAAGTCACCAAGTGAAATTTAGTTTGTTGTCTAGGTATTCCTCAAGAGGTGGAAATATCTCTGGTTTCTGCAGAATCTTGAGGAATAATTATCTCCTCCCCACCCCACAACTTTTTCAAAATCTAAAGTCCGACCATGTTTCACAAGAGAAACAGTGTACAGTGGTCCATATTGTAGCAGAAATTACAAAGTTAACCATGCCTCTTATTTCTGGCTGTCTGTGTGCTCAGGTGGGTGGTTCAGGCATCACTGAATGTTTGCCAGATGTGGAGGAGCACAGCTGCCTCACTTGAGGAAGGGATCCTGTGTGGTCCAAATGTTCTCTTGACAATCGCACGGATCCATAAATATTTTGGTTGAAATCCTTTTGTTGTTACCATTCATGTGACCGTCTGTGCCCTCTTCTTTACGCACGGGCATATTGGCTACCCCAGTGTGCAAGCAGAAGCCTGGTTGCTTTCCATGGGATAAGACCTGCCTCACACAGCTGCAGCTGGAGATTGTGCAGGGTGCTACTTTCGCGTCTCATCCATAGGGTTTTTGCCCCTCGCATGATTTTGTGTGCAGTGTTAAAACTGACCTGGTGGCCCATCTAAACCCGGTCTCTTTTCTGAACTGTAAAAAAGATTAAGGGATTCCCCGCATGTGACCTAAGATGTGTCTCAATTCATGGTGACAGCATGCGTCTGCTCGTGCAGATTTATTTTGCTGTTGCCATTGTTCTCACAGAGAAGGAGATCCCACCTCTGTCTTATACGCTCCTTAGTGAACTTTGCCAGATGCCATGGGGTCCCTGCATGACCGTCTGACCCATCAAGTCACACTTTCTGACTTGGAACCTTTGCTTGAAAAACCTCACCATCAACTTAGACGCCGTGTTGTTTTCTCCCTCCTCATTTTTTAAATTATCTAGTCTGATCAAAAAAAAAATTCTGCAGACCTGTACAAGTCAGGGATGTTGGGAAGTCTTTGAGATTAAAATCCCAAGGCCTGAGTTCTCAACTTTGGTACCAAGTCCGGGGTCCACGACCCTATTAAAAACAAGCTTTTTCCCCCCAGGAAAAGGGCTGCATGGATGTCATCAGAGTCTGGGTTATTGGGGGGGTCTGAAATGACTTAACCAGTGCAACTAAAGTCCAACCTGACAGCGAGTCCTATGACCGGAGTTCCCCCATCCTTGTGAAAACCTTCATAATATTATGGAATCACAATGACCCACCTGTTGATTTGGGAGCTCAGATTTTGCTTCACTCTTATGCATCATCACGGCTTCATCATTCCCCCCCCCCCTCCGGATTTAGAATTGAAGAGTGTGATCCTACGCAGGTAGACTTGGACATAAGCGCCTCTTCAGTTGCGTGAGACTTACACCCAGACAATCTTCTATGGAATGGCAGCTGAAATAAGTTAGTATGAATCAGCAATTTGCAAACTCTGACTCCTGGCTGGCAAGGACTCCACTGCCGATGGTAAAATTGCACCAAGTCAGGAGATGAATGAAATCAACAAATTTATGGCTGTTCTGTTGCCCATTCATCAAGGTGTACGGCTGGCCGTATTCCAGTCAGTTTTTTGTTTTGTGTGGGTGGGGGGTGTTCTTTTTCTTAGCATTTATGAAAGGCCCAGAGGCTGCTAAAATGATGTTAGAGGGCCACATTATTTCCACACTTGGTGGAAGACATCAGGCAGCTTACGGTGACCATGGAAAAGCCATTCCTGCCCACTCACCGTGTTTTTATTCCTTAAATACAATGCTGGGAAACCAATGACTAATGCATAATGGACATTAAATCCCTATAACTATTCCAGCCGTCAGAATGGGTATGACAAGCAAAGTAGCAGGGTAATTTCTACAGAACCAATTATCTTTATTAGTAAGGGTGTTGAGCTTTTTAAAAGAACTGGAACACTCATCTTCAAACTGACATCAGGTAGAAAATGTTCTGAAATGACAAAATGTTCCTTGCTCAGGTGTGGGAAACTAACATACCCTGAGGTTTTTTTAGCTTCGTTTCTTGCTGAATCTAGTAACGCCTCCCTGTTCTGGCCGAAACTCCACGGGTAATTTTCTGTGGTTGATTATAAAGCAGGCACTTGTGATTGTCATACAACCCATATTAAGACCTGATAGCTCCTAATTTTACACATTATATTTGGGCCTTGTAATTTAAGAGTCTGATCCTACATGGTTATGGAGGCAAATTGGTTGGGGCATTATATTTAAAAGGAACTTGTACATTTCTTGAATGTTGTTGCATTACTTATTGTTTCTTGGCCGGTAGGTTGCTGTGGTTGTTATCGTTTGCTCTGATTGTATAAACGATTGATAATTTGTCATGTACCATTAAAAATAAATGGTGTTGTTTTTACCAACTTGTAAAAAAAGAGAGAAATGTTCAGTGTTGCCATCTAGTGACCAGTTTTAATATTGCACATTGGAAATATGGGTAAAAATAAAACTCAACCCTTACCACCTGTTGTTGTTTAGTCGTTAAGTTGTGTTCGACTCTTTGTGACTCCATGGACCAGCGCACGCCAGGCCCTCCTGCCTTCCACTGCCGCCTGGAGTTTGGTCAAAGTCATGTTGGTCACTTCGGTGACACTCTCCAATCATCTTGTCCCCTTCTCCTCTTGCCTTCAAACTATTCCAACATCAAGGTCTTTTCCAGGGAGTCTTCTCTTCTCATGAGATGGCCAACGTAT